ACCACAGCAAACTATGGCAAGTCCTTAAAGAAATGGGAATGCCTGATCACCTGTATATTGTCTCCCTGCTTATTTAACTTATATTCAGAATACATCATATGAAAGGCTGGACTGGAGGAATCTCAAACTGGAATTAAGATTGAAGAAATATCAACAACCTCCGATATGCAGATGATACCACTCTGATGGCAGAAAGTGGGGAGGAATTAAAGAACCTCTTTCACCCTCTTAATGAGGGTGAAAGAGGAGAGCGCAAAAGATGGTCTGAAGCTCAACATCAAAAAAATTAAGATCATGGCCACTAGCCCCATCACCTCCTGGCAAACAGAAGGGGAAGAGATGGAGGCAGTGACAGATTTTACTTTCTTGGGCTCCATGATCACTGCAGATGGGGACAGCAGCCACAAAATTAAAAGACGCCTGCTTCTTGGGAGGAAAGTGATGAAAAACCTAGACAGCATCTTAAAAAGCAGAGACCTCACCTTGCCGACAAAGGTCCGCATAGTCAAAGCTATGGTTTTTCCAGGAGCTATGTATGGAAGTGAGAGCTGGACCATAAAGAAGGCTGACCGCCGAAGAATTAATGCTTTCGAATTGTGATGCTGGAGGAGACTCTTGAGAGTCCCCTGGACTGCAAAGAGAACAAACCTATCCATTCTGAAGGAAATAAACCCTGAGTGCTCACTGGAACAACAGATTCTGAAGCTGAGGCTCCAATACTTTGGCCATCTCATGAGAAGAGAAGACTCCCTGGAAAAGACCCTGATGTTGGGAAAGTGTGAGGACAAGACGAGAAGGGGACGACAGAGGACGAGATGATTGGACAGTATCATCGAAGCTGCCAACATGGATTTTCATCAAACTCCGGGAGGCGGTGGAAGACAGGAGGGCCTGGGGTGCTCTGGTCCATGGGGTCACAAAGAGTCTGACATGACTTAATGACTAAACAACAACAAACTGAATTTGTTTTCCACATGTAGTTCACATTGGCTCGTTATGTAGTTAAACACAACTCATACATGTAGTTCACGTTGGCTTGTTATGTAGTTAAACAAAACTCATACATGCAGTTCATGTTGGCTTGTTATGTAGTTAAACAAAACTCAGATTTTATTTGGAAATTCAGGGCAGCATTTCAGATAAACCAGTAAGATTTTATTATACTGAAAAGTTCAACAACAATGAAAAACCACCTGGTCACAATCACTTGGGGATAAAAAACTGTCTCAGAAAAAACATCAGTTCCACAGAGCAGATTCTGCACTGTATTTTCAAAGACAGAGAACAAAATACAGGAAACTCAAGGACAGACTGTTCTTTAAGAAGTACAAAACTCTAAACAATGTGCCTTCATTCAGGTTAAGGATTTAGTATACCCCCAGGACATCAGCAGTAAACCCAGATTATTTGCATGCATTTGTAATGGAAATACAGAAGGGCAACATACTTAAGGTTTTATAGCTTCAGGTATTCTGCATACATATAGAGTACTTTGAGAGTTGAATTACACAGGAGATAAATAATATTTTTTGCTATACGCTTGATTTTTAGCTTTTTGCCTCTGTGGGAGTTTTTTATGTCAGTATCATATAATTTCAGAAAGACAGTTCCTTTCATGTGCAATAGAACTGCTGGTAGCTTTTGTCCTGCCTTAGTTATTAGAACTTTTATTTCATGCCCATAATGAAGCTGATTTCTCTCCTGTTGAATTCTACTAACTCTTTGCCCTCTGGAAATTTCAAAAACACAACCAATTTTAGTGCCTTTTTGTTCAGCTAAATAAAGGTATTAACACAATATGCATCTTGGAATGGAAACAGAAAGATGGGATCTGGAGTTAACAGAAGTGAAAATGGGTAGAAGTTAAGAGCAGTGGTGGCGCTGTGGGCTAAACCGCAGAAGCCTGTTCTGCAGGGTCAGAAGACCAAGCAGTTGTAAGATCGAATCCACATGACAGAGTGAACGCCCATCGCTTGTCCCAGCTCCCGTCAACCTAGCAGTTCGAAAGCATGCAAATGCAAGTAGATAAATAGGGACCACCTTGGTGGGAAGGTGTAACGGGCAGACATAACATCACATGTCCGTCACAGCTGGGCAGTGAGTCATCAGCCTATGGTGTGACGGAGGGTGGAACTTAAGGGGAGGAGCTAGTATAAAAAGGGGGGTGAAGAGTGTGTGGGGGAGATTGGAGATGAGAGTCTGAGCTGAGAGTTTAAAGTGATTAGTAGTTTTAGTGAGTGAGAGAGCCTGTCAGTGTGAAATAGTCTGTGTGAGCGAGTGTTTATTAACAGTGATTGATTAATTGATTCTTTACCAGTGATTTATCATTTATTTTTCTGTAATCAATAAACCAGTTTTTTTGTTTTCAAAGTTACACTTGTCCATTTATGATTCTTTAAGGATAAGTTGGGGCAGCAGAGGTTTTTGAAGTGAAGTAGCAACCACTCTGTGAAGTGTGAGTGTGGCTGTTACAGGAGGTAACAGCGTTCCGTGTCTAAGTCGCACTGGCCATGTGACCACGGAAGATTGTCTTTGGACAAAACGCTGGCTCTATGGCTTGGAAACAGGGATGAGCACTGCCCCCTAGACTCGAACACGACTGGATAAAAAAAATTGTCAAGGGGAACCTTTACCTTTACCTAAGAGCTGATAGAGGGCCTGGCAGTAAATGGAAGAAGATGAAAGCAACAGTGACTGAGGAGGGAAGATTGGGGCACTTGTAGGAGACTGGAAAAGGCAACAACATTGTCAAGTTGAATGTGAGATGAGAAAAAAAAAGATTCTGTCCAGTACAGGAATAAAGATACTAGGAAGAAGACATTAAGTATGATGATAAGGTAGCAATTACTTCTACTATGTTATAGCCTAAAACTGCACAGGACTTTAAGTGTGGCAGGAATGGGGGCTCCATCCACTGAGCTTTTCAAAGAAGCCTTTAGGAACATCCTTAAACACCCAACATCAATCTGCATGCAGAAGCCACTCAGGTTCTCACATGTTCAGCATGAAGAGACACCTGTAAGCATATTTGCTTGAATATGCTCAAATTGTTTGATATATTGGGAACCAGGACTGCCACTCACATGAACAAATTAAACACATTCAGGTGAATGTGTCTGAATAACTCACATTTGTGAGGAATGTTGGTACCTGATATGCATATACATATCTATCCCTACCATGCTTCAAGTCTTATGTGCTTCAAACTATAACACCTGAAAATGGTGAGAATCATAGCTGAAGACAACAAAGAACATTGCAAAAAGGAATGAAGTAGGAGGAAGCCAGTCAAGTCTTACTGGTTCATCAGAGGTAGAAAACGGTATTGAATACTATTGAAGAGACAGACTAAAAAGTTCAAATACAAACACACACAATGTGACAATTTCTTTAAACATCTTACAAATCACTTGCAGACACTGACATACAGTGGTGATGTTTGTATGACAAACAACCATCACAGTGGTTGGTTCACAATATTTGTCTACTGATGTCTGCACTCTCCAGGAAGCAAACAGTAGTAATAAAGGAAAGAGGCATCATGTTATGATCAGAGAGACAGAGATTGTAAGGATTTTTAATTACAAAATAACTTGGCAAATACTTAGGGGACCAAAGGCTGAATCTTTCCTGATACATAGCTCTACCAACCATCTGATTGCTGAGGCATATTTTCTTCCCATCTGAAGATAAAAGGAATTTTGCACTCTGGAATGTGGACAAGATTTACTGTTAAAAAGATCATCTCCTGTCCTTCTGCATAAACCATGCTTCTATTCAGTAACTCACACAAATACACAGCAGAAAGACTCATTGATTAAATTTCTATCCCTGCCCATGTAAACGGCAGAGCACCACTCTGCACACTAAAGGCAATGAAAATACTGTAACAACTTTCCACTAAACATAAACCCACCAATAACAAAAACCAACAAGATTCCCAGAGAGAAAGGGAAACAAATTCAAATTGAGATACAAAATGAAACACATGGATCTGTGAGAATATAAAAGGGGGAGGATATTTCTAAAGGCCTCTTTGAAAAGCTCAGATTTTACATATTTCCTGAAAGACAGAAGGATAGGAGCCTGATGTATATCAACCAGCAATGCATTCCATGGTGTTGTGGCTACTGCTAAGAAATCCCAGTTCCTGGTGGTACTTTTCTGGACCTCTCTAGAGGTGGCCTTTTGCAGCCACAAAGCCTGGGCAGACCCCAGTAGCCTGGGTAGATGATCTTAAGGAGGAAGAATTGATGCTTTCGAATTGTGGTGCTGGAGAAGACTCTTGAGAGTCCCCTGGACTGCAAAGAGAATAAACCTATCCATTCTGAAGGAAATCAACCCTGAGTGCTCCTGGAACAACAGATTCTGAAGCTGAGGCTCCAATACTTTGGGAAAGTGTGAGGGCAAGAGGAGAAAGGGACGACAGAGGATGAGATGATTGGACAGTGTCATCGAAACTGCCAACATGAATTTGACCAAACTCTGGGAGGCAGTGGAATACAGAAGGGCCTGATGTGCTCTGGTCCATGGGGTCACGAAGAGTGAGACACGACTTAACGACTAAACAACCACCACAAAAGTTTCTCCATCACCTTCTAAGGCAGCCTCACATAGACAGCATTGTAATTATCAATCCAAGACATTACCAACGCAGAGACCATTGTTTGGGGAGTTCTTGTCCAGAAAGAGTCACAACTCTGCCATGGCAGAGTTTTATTTCTCCCTGGAGAGAGCCAGGTCCAGATGCACATCCAAGTGCTAGTAAACACTAGGATTAAAACATTTAATTTCTAAATGAACTACGTCTGCATTGTATTTTTGTGCACCTTTACTCATCAAGCAGTGCAACAAATAAAAGCTTCCATACATTCTACACAGCAAGTGATTTCCTTTTATTTCCTCTTGCTATGCAAGAAGCTATCCATTGTTTATCACTGTAGAAGGCAATCCATTCAATAGGTGATCTACAGGTCAGCAGAGAGTAATAAATAACTTACGCTGGTCACTCGACGGTAGATCTGCGCAGCATTCTGACACTCAGAGTAAGGATATTCTGATGTAGCCATCTCAAGCATACACATCCCAAAAGCATACACATCAACGGATTCATCGTATTTCTCCTCATACATCTCAGGTGCCATGAACTCTGGGGTACCTTAAATTAAAAGAACGATTCAGACTCTAAATGTCTCAAAGCGAGCAGAGGCTGCTGGCGTTACTCACCGCAGAAGGGAGCAGTTGGGTACACCTGTGAGAAAAGAAGTGGAGGCAAAAAGAAGAGGGAGGACATCCTCAGTCATTCTTTTTCACCAACTTATCCCATGGGTCTTTTATTGCAAGGCCTTTGCAAGAAGTGAAGAAATTACACACAAAGATTTACATGTTTAATGATTGTGCATATTATAATAGAACAGGAACAAACTAGGAAACTAGTTGAGTCTCAGGTTGAAGTTAAATGGAGAAAAATAAAGTAAGAGACTAGCTAGGCTGCAAACCAAATACATGTTAGCCACACTTACCTGTCCTCCCTGTGAAAAAGGAGGTGTGAAGCTTGTTTCTGCATCCCTGCCTGCCCTCTGCTGTAAAGAATTAGTACTGGTAAGAATCCACAGCTAGTCTCTGACCTATCAACACTCCATTTACTTCTTAATAGTGTCACTTTAAACAAAGCCTTGCAATGAAATACCCTGTATCTATGAATAAAAGTTGCTTCAAAAATTAATGTTTTTAAATTGTCTGCAAAGGCCACTCACCAGAGCCCTTTTCACATACTTACCCTTTCACCTGCAGTACATTTTATAGGTCTACTGCAGATACAGGAAATAGTGAGGGACATCCTACAGGCAAAAATACTCAGAAATATAGAGAGATTGAGTTATAGGCACGGAGCGTGAGATTCAACAAATTCTGGATAAAAACTACTTGCAGGAGATGTATTACCCCTTAAGTGCCAAATCAATGCACTCCTCCACAACAATGGGAAGCTGCAGCTTATAACCAGAGATACTTAGAGCCAGAAATTGTGGGTTTAAAAAAGGTAAAAAAGTATTTCCTGCAGACAAACCAGATTTTATGCAGGTCACTTTTTACATCTCCCTATTCACCCTCACTTTGTTCAATAATGTCCGAGCCATAACTGAAAATGGACACATGAATGGAACAGTTATAAAATTCAGAGTATGACAGTTTCCCAGTTGAAAGTTGAATACAACATAAGGAAGGGAAATCACTGTGCTCAGGAAGTTAATCATTTCCTATAGAAAAGTCTTCCTTTTCCATCAGCACTTAACATCTCCAGACTAACTGAAAAGCAGGAAATGTTTCATTGTGATATATATGCAAATGTGAATCTGTACCCATAAAATCATGTATTAACATAGGAATGCTGAACTGTAAAAATGACTACTGATTGTGTTGTAACACATGCACTAGTAGGTGCAAACTAATAAGGACTATATTTCTCCTTATTAGTCTGCATCTTTCATGAACAGAACAGCAGAACAAAACTGTTAAAACCACTTATCTGGTAGAAGTCTCAATACCCAATGTCAAATTTGTGAAATTCTTTTGAATGCCATAACCTAGGTATATGGCAAAGTTTTGTTTGGTATTCCTAAAATAATTTTCATTTAATGTTTGTGCTTCTTTATAGTAGCTTTCTATAGTTATTTCATAAAATATACATACATTGGTTTTTATCAAAAGTGTTCTGCTATTTTTGAGATCCTACACACACAATATCCAAAAGTAGTATTTTATGAGCCCTGTGACTCCAGACTTTTCTTCCCAGAGAAGAGCACAGAAGCAAGATGGTGAGTTTTACTAGGATATAAGAGCTGTCATAAAACAACCAGAACTTACCTATCACACTCTTGGCAAAAGAAGCTCGCTTCAAAGTTGCCAGACCCAAGTCTCCTATCTTCACAGATCCTGTCGGGCCAGTGATAAAAATATTGTCGCACTTTAAATCACGGTGGATAATGGGAGGAGTGCGCGTGTGCAAGAACTGCAAACCCTTCAATATTTGCCGGCACCAGCTTCGCAGTACTTTAATTTTCATTACTTTAAATCTTTTTAAGTATCTAGAAAACAGTAAGCAGAATAAAAGTTCATGCTGCTGAATTATACCATTGTATTATGAAGATGTAGCAAACTGAACACAACAAAAGCAAAGTGACATTTCCATTCAATGAGCCAAGGCAGAGACATGGGACTGAAGGACCCCAACAAAAATGAGATGTGCAGTATGGAAGCTTTTCTTTTTCCTTCACAGTGCAAGAACCATGCAGTAGTCTGGATTTTTAGTGAAGAATAAGAGATTAGGAAGACTACATTTTCTGTGGTTATCAATGTTTCCTCTAATTTTCTGTCCAACTGCGCAGGAGCCTCACTCCATGTGCACAGGGGCTTCATTCAAAATGGGAAGTAAACAAACCGGCTGCCCATGCACAGCTCTGATGGAGCTCTGGGCGAGCATGCAAACAATTATAAGGAACACTGATTATAACAACACATTAGGCTAAAGAGCTACAATGTTTAGTTAGCTTAGTTAGCAAACTGTACATATACATATCATATTTTTCTGTGTATAAGATGCCCCCATGAATAAGACTAATCCAAAATTAAGAAATCTAAGTGGGGCTTAGCAAGTGGAGGGTAAAGCAGGGATCAAAGCCCTGCAGGATCACTTTGATCCCTGCTTTCCCCTCCACTTATTTTTGTTCTCTCCTCAGCTTACTTCCGTGTATAAGATGACCCTCAATTTTTAGTCTAAAGATTTTAGACAAAAGTATAGTCTTATACACGGAAAAATATGGTAGTTTTAAAAAAATTTAAATGGCTTGTTAATGCAGGGTTCTCTTCTGTAGGTGGTTATTTATTTTAAAAACAACCATTTGGTTTTCTGGTAGTTTCTAACAATATACTATACTGCATTATAGAAGACAATTCTAAATAATTATTTATTTTGTCTTTTAAGCATTTGCCTTTTCACAATTAATTTTACTTAAACTTATCTATTACATCCCTTGTGCATGCTTTACTTCCAATGGACATTAGAATTAATACAATCTTGGGATTACAGCAGCCCTGGCAGGATACTAATGGGATGCAAAGCCTTGAAGGAAGGGCAACTAGCAAAAGACCAGTACCTTTTAAGGACAACAATGCAAGCAAGGATGACAAAGTTGAGCCAAACTACTTCTTCTGGGACATGAGAACTTGTGGAATAGGCAAAGAAAACTATTCAGTGGGATATCAGCAGCAAACATTCAACTCATACCTGAGCTGAAAAATCAAATAGTGGCATATACACCAGAAATTCGCCTTTGAATTCATACAGTACTTTATTTCTGTGGCCTTTTTATTCCAAGCCGAGCTCCAATTTCCCTCTGCAGCTATCCCTCAAATGCTTTTACAGGGCACGTTGCACAGCGGGATTAATGTCTGTAATATGATTTCCAAGTCCCTCCTTTGAACTACAGAAATTGGAGTAATGGGGATTACTGTCAATCATCCTGAACTGGCCGCTGTCCAAATGATTCTATCAAGACATGTTCTCACAATTAAGTAGATAACCAACACGGATACAACTGCTGTGAAATAATCTTGATCATTATCTATTGTGGGATCATATTTGAAAGTCAAAGAATCCCAAGCACCTGTCACTATTGTGACAGTTGTGATATAAGGGGCATCCTTTGAACTTGACATGAAAAATAAATGGAGTCTGTCAATATTGGGACTGGGAAGTAAGGACAGGCTACAGGATGCATTCTCAGTAGTTTCATCAAGAAATTAAAATTATTTTCCCTGGAACACTTTGTGCTATGACCCTAATAATATTTCAATATATAAATTTATTTAAGACATAGAATTATTTATTCCTCCAGATTTTTTTAGAAACTGAAATTCTCTAGAGGCACTTAGTATTTACACTACATACAGATTTATACTAGAAATAAAGAAACAGATTTGACCAACTACGAAAGGTTCTACGATCCTTATCACCTAACACCAGCAAACACTGCAGAAGAACATTAAGGTCATCAAGAACTTTTAGTCTGTTCCTTTGTCTATTCTAAATTATTTCAAACTCTAACTATTAGTTTTGGCTAGGAATGGGAGTTTTGGATTTCTAAGACTTCTAGTCCCAGAATTCCTGCAGACTCTCCCACCCCCACAGAATGGGACTGGAAGAACAAAAACAAAAGACGAAAGAGAGATCTTCCTACCACCATTTTCTGCTTCACTACAGATGCTTTGTCTGAAAAGAGAAAGACAATGCCTCTCTTCAGTCCCACTGGTTCCTGGAAGTTGCCCCATTAGACTCTACAGGGGGAGCCTCTCACTGAACTACCCTTCCCATGGAGCACTGTGGAACGCCCAGGAAGCAGTAGGACTGAAGATGTGTTCCCTTCTTCTCAGCCAAAGCATGTGTAGTGCAGCAAAAAATGGCCATAGAAGGACCTTTATTTTGCCTTTCATTTTGGTCTCCAAGTCCCAAGATTCTGCCTGGGAAGTTCTGGGTAAATTCTGAAAGTGGGAGCCCTAGAAATCCAAAAGCTGCATCCCTTGTATTGGCCAAACACTTCCAATTAATGCTTCAGGAGCTAAGCTGCTGCTACAGAAATGACATAAATTTAATTCACTACTTAATAGAAAAATATTTTCATTCAGATATGACATTCGTTCTCTCAATTCAAGAACTCCTCCCGGTTAAAGACAAGCTCCACTCCCTCTCTCATATTTTTAACTTATTATTTTCTAACATATTTAAATACTGTAGTTCTATCACACACAATGTCCTGAGATCTCATAGTACACAGTCAATAAAAGCAACTTTAAAATAAACTATTAACCAGTTTGTAAAGCATTTTAAAACACTTCAACGTATTTAAAATTAAAATGCAAACAGACATGATAAAACAAAACTTCAACAATCCAATAGGTCAAAACCAAACCAGGATCCACTGGGATCCCATATATATACTCATCTGACTGAAGCATGATGCTTTATTAGAGCTAGAGCAAACCACCTTTCAACAAATCATATTAGGCTCATCTTAAGGAGAAAAGTGGGGTAAAAATGTAAATGCAACAAATACATTATATAGCTTGTCTGCCGGATTCAGTTTGGTTTTTCAGGCCTGCTTTTAACTCTGCCCATTTTGGGCTATCACCAAAGCACTGAAGTTAAAATATTTTCACAAATATTTCTACAGCTCTTTTCTACTATTTATTGGCTTAATTCATTCAACAGAATTCAGAGCCTGACAGTTACTCCTTCCACACTACATATAATTCTATGGGATTACAATCAAGGAATTGTAGTTTCAAATAGTTTAACTACTTGGATCTGTGATAATTTATTGTACTGACTGAACCTATGCAATATGAACTGCTGGATCCCTCAGTATCCAGCACTTTAGTTATCCGGCTGTGGAGCCAGAGGTTGAGAGTTTGATTCCCCGCTATGCCTCCTTGACAGGGGCTGGACTTGATGATCCATACGGTCCCTTCCAGCTCTGCTGTTCTAAGAGGAGGAGGAGATTATAATAATCCTATCCTAGCAAATACAGTAGTATAGCAGCTCTGCTGTTCTAAGAGGAGGAGGAGGAGATTATAATAATCCTATCATAGCAAATACAGTAGTATAAAGAAAACTTGCCAATGATTTCCTGACCACTAGAGGACTCTCTTGCTACTTACTTTGGCTGGAATTCCAAACATGTGCTACATTAGAGACATGATACAGCACGTCAAACTCAGAAATCAAGAGTTCTTATATTTCTTCCTCACGGTAAAACACTGACAATAATTCCAACAGTTTCATAATTTAGAAGTCAGAAGGTAAAATAATGATCACCATGCAAGACCTTCTAAGAAAGTCTACTAAAAGTCTACAGCAAACACAAAGCTTTTATTCTTCTAATTTCATCTTCATGTTGGTTATTATGGAGGGCTCTATGTAAACCAATACTCACGTTTTCAGTGTGCCAGATGTCATAAGCTCTGTAACCAGAACAATACACTTCTTTCCCTTCACTGTAGATTCCCAGGAATCATAGAACCTAACAATGTTGGGATGCTGAAGTCCTTTCAGCATTTCAGCCTCTTCCTTAAACCGTTGCCTTTCCGATTTTGACAGCTTCCGATCCTAAAAACAAAGACAAAAAAGTGTATTTTTAAAACTAAAGGAAAAATAAAGTAAAATGAGATTTAATTACACAGTCAAGCAGACCCACTGAGAAAGAAGACAGCAAATTCAAGAAACAGAACATGAGAGGCAGCAAATTAAAGCCATAGCCCCTGCTCCACTACCCTTCCACCCTATCAGGCTGCTTGGACTTTTTGCTGTGCTGTATTTCTTGCACATATTCCCTCTGGCCCATCCACAACTTTTACAACTAACTGCTGAGCTATGCATTATGCACTTTCCTTTTCTACTGGTCTTCATTGCTGCCATACAGCTATGAAAAGCCACTATCATCAATGAGCAACAATAACACTCTCAGCGTTTCTCTGCCTCTGTTCCTTGTCAGTCATTCCAAAAACAAATGATTGCTCTAACGCCCTGCACCCCATCTTAGGTAAGCTATAGAAGAGATGCTTAAGCATGCAACAGAGAGGCCCTCCTACCACCATCCAACTTTCCCTGCAATGGCACTTGTTCTGATAACAGGAAAGACTGCACCTGTCATTCACTCTTTGATCTGCCTGAGGAAGGGAAGGTGGTTACTTATGCATTGATAGCTTCTCAGTTATACAGTACTGTACATGGATAAGAAAGAGTGGAAAGGAAAGGGAATAATGTTTCACTCAACAGAGATTAGTACACAAGCACTATTTATACAGGATAGTTCCAATTCTCTGATTTCAGTTAAACAGCACAGTCCACAGCTGGGACTGGATGAGACCAAGCATGCTGTTCTCATTTAAAATACAGTTAACAGCATATACACACAAGAAAAAGATTTTCTGCTATTCTTTTTCTAATTTTCCCCATCATCACTCCTTTCCTTTAAGTCAAGTAAAGTACAATCCTAAACACAGTTGCACCATAATAAGCCCAAATGAATTTGGTAGAGGCAATGCACATTAGAGATTGCTGCAAACCTCAAGGACGAATAAGTAGGTATGTATTTACATAAATCCTCACATATAGAAATAAAAAAATGTCAAGGTCATGCTTTCCTTCCTATCCACTGCTTACTCTGACTCAGCAGTCTTCCTAATGCACATTTTAACTACACCAACCCCTTCCAAAGGGCTTAGGGTACTTAACACAGTTTTTTGCTAAATACTAATAGTTCTGTATCCAGGAAGCTAGCTATCTAAGAAAAGAAACAGTCTAGAGCAGAGGTCCCCAACTCCCAGTCTGCGGCCTGGTGCCGGTCCATGGCCTGAGCCAGACTGGGCTGCCAAGACAGACCTCCCGCCCCACCCCCCGCGCGCACTCACCCCCACACAGCCCATTTGTGCCTGCGCCTGCACTCCAGCATGCCCGTGCGAGCGCAGCACCACTATTTGCACATGTGCATGAGCGCAAGCATGTCCAGACAAGCTCTGCGCCGTTGTTTGCACATGTGTGCACTCACGCATATGCACAAACAGCAGTGCAGAGCTCACATGGCATGACTGTATTTGAATAAATGTAGATTGTTGTATATGAAAAAAATAAAACATCCCCTGAAAATAAGCCCTAATGTGTTTTTGGAGCAAAAATTAATATAATATAATATAAAAATTAATATAAGTTCCTTAAATTCCAATAGGTAACCGACAGTGAGCACCCAAGTGTCCTTGGTGATGGTGGACCACTTGTTGAAAAAGGGAGCCAGCCAGGGATGATGAGGACAGTCCAGGAGAGGAGAGTCAAAGATGTTCTTTGTTTTTCCTTGCAGGGCGATGGAAACCTTGTCTGTGTTGAGCAGGTCCCTGGGACCGGAAAGGAGGAGCAGAAGAAGACGACTGAGAAAAGTTGGATCTTTCAGGAGCCGGAGGTTTGTAAGGGCATTAGGGGTGCTGGTATGATTGATGGAAAGTAAATGGCTTACATCATGGTATCTGGACTGTTGGATGGAGTAAGAATGGGCAGTCTTGCAAAACTAGTGTAAGTTTTCCATCACCTCATGAGTCTTATCGTTGAAATGGCCAACACCATCAAAGGGCAAAACCTCAATACAGGACCAAGCATCATCAGTGATCCCCGCAGAACAGAGTCATGCATGCCATCTAAAGGCAATGGCAGAAGCCAAAGATTTTGAGGCAGCGTCAGCCCTATGGCAAGATGCCAAACGCTGCTATATAGCCAAGGTAGTGGCCTCGAGGTGGGTATTGAAGGCACTAGCTCTAGTCTCTTTAGGACCAGCCTGAAGGACCAGGAGGATTTTGTTCCACAGCTGCCTGTGATAAGCTTCCATTGCAGCCTGGTAGGAAGGAAGCTAGAGAATATAGATGATGACCCAGTACATCCAGCTTTCTCCCTTCCTTATTAATAGGACCGATTACCAGCTCGGGACTAATTTGACTGTACAATGATGGAATTTGGTGGAGGATGCTTGACGAGGAACACTGTGTCCATGCTGTGAGTGTGGTAGTGTTTCTCCACATGCCTCGAGATCTGTAAAGATGTAGATGTTTTGTCCCAGGATTCTTTAATAAGGTCCAATATGGCTGGGATGAATGCCAAACTCAATGGGGGGGATTTATCTTGGTTAATGTCATCAGAGACAAGGTCATGTTTGGGAGGGAGGAGATGGTTGTTCGATATCCAGCTCCAGTGATTTGGTTATGTGAAGGATTAGCTGAGAGTAAGACGTAAAGTCCTCAGATGGGGAATGAACATCTGCAATGTCCGAATCAGGAGTTGACAAATTTGAGGGAGATTCTCTGGACGTCTCAGAGGATCATGTTCAGAAACTGTTGACACCATAGAACCTCCAGAGATGGAGAGAGTTGGAGAGACAGAATGTTGATGATCCTGAGAAACAGGAACAAGAGGGCTTGGTGCTGGGACCTGACGGGCAGAGCGGGATCCAGGTAAAGAAACAGTCGGGCGTGACATCGAAGCCAACAGCACTGTAGAACTTGGATGGAACATGCTCATGTCAAGAGGGCACATGTTGAGATGGACCTGGATCATAACGCGGTACTTCAGAACTAGACAGGTGGTGTTTAGCAGACTTCTTGGACACTGGTACTATTGGACCGAGCTCATAATAAGCTCGGTGTCGACTCCGAAGAGGAGGTAGCAATGGAGAGGACTCGGATGGGGCATAAGTGTACCAAACACGTTTGGTACACTCATAAGCATCGTTATGTGAGGCACCACTGTACGTTTGGGACACTCATAACAGTCCTGGATGAATCTCGGGTCAAATTCGTCAAAACGGTATCAGTGGCGATCACTGTGCTGATCGAACTCATAGAGGGGGTCTCCCTATACAGGAAAGGCATGGTGTCAAGATGGACATGGGACAAGGATTGCCTCCCGATACTGCGAGGATGGGGAGATGTGATGCCGCTTTGCTGTCCTCTTCCACAGAGGGAATTGACAGAGCGATCCCTCCAAGTTTGAAAGATCGATAACAGTTGCCCGCCCAGTTGAAACAGGGCTAGAACGGGCTGAGGCTGGGTTAGATATGACATCGGCCTCAGAACAGCCATGACTTCGAGACATGCTCTGTACTGATACCGAAGCTTGAGCACGAGTAGGAAGACCCAATTCTCTCGCTTTGGAAATGGAGTCTTGGTCCGGGATGTTCCTTGACGATTCCTCCAAGATGGGAGATGGGATGGAAACATGGACAATTGGCAGCTCACAAGGCTGATGAGGCTTAGGAGCCCGCTTAACCTTCTTTTGCTTGACTGTGTCTCCTGTACAATGTTACGAGCCTCTATCCAAAGTTCTTCAGGCACTCTGTCCACCAAATC